TATATATATATATATATATATATATATATGGGGGTATTTGCACTCGGCTCCCCTGTGAAATGTCTAATTGTCAAAAAAACCCCTCGGATAAAAAAATTAGCAAATACCCCCCTATGAAAGGAAGTCAATGACAATAAGGATCCTACGAGCGAAGCGTGGGATACACTCGCGGTTCATGCAGCTGGGCGTGCGTTTTAGGACATTTTAGGACAGGAAAAGACATAAAAACCCTTCAGTCTCCTTGAATGACAAAACGACGCCGCTATATTCTCTCCCAAATATCAGCCTCGATTCATTGAGTTCTAGGGTTTTTTTTTCTCAAAATTTCTTCTTCTCTTCAATTGGGTTCGAAATTCCCCCAATTCGCAAAAAGTTCTTCTACAAAATGTCATCTCAAACCTCAAGCAGCGGGACAAGGAGGAGAAGCGAGCCACAGAATAGGCAGCCCCACTTAGATCTGAGGTATCCGTCTAATCCATTTTGTAGATGCCACATGAAATCATGTATAAGGGTGGTTGAAGCTGTAATGAAGCCATCAAGGGGAAGGTTGTATTATTCTTGTGTTTTTCGTCGTTGCACATTTTTTCAATGGTGTGAGCCAATTCGAGCCGTACAATATCCAAGCTGGGAAAATCCTAGTTGGGAACAACCGTTGCCCAATGATTTTGATGAAGCCGACGAAATTATTCCACAAGCTTCTACTGAAAAAAATGATACTGAAAAAAATGATTGATTTATGTTGCAAATTTCATGGGCTATATGCGTAGCATTGTTTGTAATTGTTTTGGTGCTGCTACTGAAGATTTGAAGCTGTTATGAATGACCCTGTTTTGATAAGTTGTAATGTAGTATTAGTTGTTCAAGTTGTTACTATCAGTGTAATATTGACAATTTGATGTTATTTACTCTAGTATCATTAGGAATTTGAGATGTTGTAATGACAATTTGATGTTACTTATTCAAGTATTATTTGGAGTTTGAGATGTTGTAATGACAATTTGATGTTATCTATTCAAGTATTATTACGAATTTGTGATGTTGCAGTTCTTTTGGTTTTGGTTGTTGTATTCCCAGAATTTGTACTTACTAATTAGCATGGACCCCCATGTATAATTATAAATAAGCAAAAGAAACCCTGTGTTGTAAACAATTAGCATAAACCCCCCTGTGTTATAAGTATATAGTAAATTCCTCCCTGTTTACATGTCTCTCCCTGTAACAATTAATTAACAACAATCCAATGAAATCAACAATAACAAACCAACATACAATTTCATCTACTGACAAATTCATCAACAGAAAAAAGTCAAAAGGTCATACAAAGACCAGCAAAAGGGTGTTACAAGTTTATCAAAAGACCATCTAGAGTTATATCACAAGTTTATCAAAAGATCACCAATTCAAAAGGACTTTTACAGATTCAAAAAACATTCAACTTTCAAAAGACATCCAAAAGAATTTTACAACAGATCAAGGCTTCCAATGCCTCTTCTTCTTAGAAGCATTCCTAATATTCTGAAGGACTTCTGCTATTTGAGGCTTTCTTTTGCGCACATGAATTTGACTTGAATTTCCAGCTTGAAAAGTTGCATTTGAAGTAGATGGTGGAACAGTTTTTGCAGTAGGAGGTGGAACAGTTGCTTGTGCTTGACTTGGGGGTGGAACAGTTGCTTGTGCTTGATTTGTTGGCCTTGGTTTTTTGAATTTTTTGGTTCTTCCTAGTAAAGCCTCATTTCTTCTTCCTTGGTATATCTACAATTGCAATTAAACAGTTACAAATACTAGGCAATATGACCAGTTCAAACAATGGAAAGAATAAAAGAAAGACTAACCCTTCCTGGAGGGGCAGAAGCATGTGCTGGATCAGTTCTTGGAGGTACAGAATGAGGACCACTGCCAGGTACTGGAACAGATCCTAAAGGACCAGAAGGAGGACCACTTGGATAGGGTGGAAGGGATCCTGAGGAGCATTTGCAGCAGATGAAGGTCCAGTTGGATGTGGAGTAACTGGTTCTTGTCTAGAACTTGGAGGGGCACTTTGAGAGGTTTGCACTTCTTCACTTGGTGAGTTTCCCTAGTACAATAAAACAACCATATTGGCACTTGTATTATTCCGAATAAGGAAATCAATGAACTGAATAAGGAAATCAATGATATGTACATT